TCTCCTGAAATTAGTAAAAATAAGTTAGGCAGATGTCTCGGATACAGCCTGTTGAGTGAATAATGATAACCAGTCATGTTGGTTTTTTTTTTTCCCTGCAGGCTACTAATAAAGAGGAGAGATGATCTAGTTGGTACCAGTGTTTATAGCTTTTCTCCTCTGCAGCTCCCAGAGCAGAGGCCCCATCCATCAGCACTGTCCCTCTGAACTGTCCCATCTTTGCAGATTAAGTTTCCATGCACCAACATCCCCACTATCTGAATATGGCACAGAATTTCAGCTCTTCGAAGAAAACATTTTGCAGAGGTGCCAAAAGGAGAGGCTGGGAGAGAAGAACAAAACACCTTTGAGCTGCACCACATCAGTGGCTGAAGGACACCATCAAAACACCTGAGAACTTAGTCCAAGGGGCCAAAAAAATCACAAGCAACTTACAACATAGACTGGAGTTGCCTCAGAAATTTTCTAGTACCATCGCATCTGGGGTTACAACTCATCAAGAGGCAGACACAGAGTTTTTTGTACAGATATCTACTGCAACATTAGGAGATCCCAGGATGGAGGCTGGAAGGGCTGGGGCTGAGATGGTCACACTGAGACTGACACAAGAAGGAAAGAGACAGGAAATGAATCCACCTCCTTTTGGGGGTGAAGAGGCACTGCAGAGGGTTCCTGTTTATAACAGCATTAATCAAACATTAGCACTTTCTGGTTGGTTCCAACGAGCAGAATTATGTCAGGAATAAACTCCACACGGTGAACAGCTGGCTACAACTGCTGACACTGAGCATGCAGGAAGAATAAAACCCAGTAGCATCTCAAGACTCCCCAGTACCAAGCAAGGCCAAAGAGCCTCTACAGCATAAAGCTCAGGAAACTCTGTATTGGTAACATTTCATCTGTTCCATCTTACTTAATTTGAAGCCTTATCAAACCAAGGGCTCGTTTCTCTTTCTTCTGCTGTTGTTAGACTGAACTCTGGCAGAGGAGACACCTGGAGTTTGATGAGAGCTCTCAGTGCTGCGGAGATGCCCTCATTGATGCGGTGCAAGGCCTGCACTGAGGGGACTGAGGGCTGCCAATGAAAGTGCTGACAAGAGGGGCTGGTGATGCAAAATGGGCCCAGATGGTGCCAACTGAGTCACACATTTTGACTGAGTCAGTAATTGGCACCAAAATCTCTCTCAGGGGATGGTGCTGATTGCCCTTGGCCAAACACAGGATTTGAGTTTTCACCCTTTTAGTCAATGAAGTTTTTGCTAACAAAGCCACTGCCCTAGAACTGTATCCATTAGCTCAAACACTCCGAGAAGCTCACTGATCAAATCTACAGTTCTAAGTGCTGTGTTCTGGAACACCAACTGAGCACCCAGCACTGTGTGGGCAGGAGCTCAGCCAGCAGGAAAAGGCTCCAGAAGGAGGCCTGCCTTCTGCTGCCTTTAGTCTCACTGCCAATGGTGCTGCATTACAACTTCTAGGCAAAGCCAAATAAATCTAAACACTGCAAACATATCTGTGGATGGACTACAGATTTACTCGGGCTCTGTGGTGTGGAAGAGGAACTTCAAGGCCTCCAACAGTGACAGATGTGTGTCACCTGAGAGTAGGTGCTGCTCACAGATCCTCCAGACAAGCCAAGCAAGGTGGTTGTCTCCAAAAAGAGCATACAAGTGGATATGAGAAGCTGTAAAGTTAAGGTAACTGAACGTCTTGGAATTAAATTCCTAGCTTGGGTTTGTGCAAGTACAATCTGTGCAGCAAAGAAACCTCATTTGGAATAGAAACAATAGGAACGTCAGAATAACATTAAGGCACAGCTTTAAATCTGAAAACTACAATTTAAAAGGCATTTCTTGTTTCATTTTGCATGGGTATTACGCTGGTCACAGTACAAGTGATAAAAGGGTACTATCAGATTAAAAATAATGTATTTTTCTAAAAATTGGCATAGCTGTTATAACCAACACCTCAAGTTCTCAGAACTACAGTGTTAAAACAACCACATTTGCATTATGCCTTTGATGATATTTGCTCAGTTGTGTTCCTCTCCAGTTGAACAGCATTAAAAGACTGGTATTTTTCCTTTTTATATTTTCAATAATTAGTGCTTAAAGTAGCTTCCCATTTGAGCCTTGTTCACTGATAACTGACTGAAGTCAAGCTGAGCTATACGGATGTTTTAAAAAAAAACCTCACTAGAGTGGGAAAAAAAAAGGAATGGAAGCATTTCTTTGCAGCTTAATTATGTGTATTTTAAGCTCCAATTGAGATGATAATGTTGTTTAAAAACTTCCCTCTACTAAGGAAATTACAAATATAGTCTGAATTGATATAATTAGAAGAACTCCAGAACAGCTCATACTTTCCTTCTTAACCTGAACTTCAGATTTGACAACACAGGGTGTTCTGTCTTAAGTCTTTTCACCATGACTCCATGAATTGTTCTTAAAAGCAGTAACATGGGATACAGACAACAGAATTTTATCCTTCACCTCCATCTCCTGTGCATTTACATCACTAGCTCACCAACAAACTTTTTTTCTAACCAAACACTAATTCTTGTTTGAAAGTGACCAAAAAACAGTTGGAATAGTAACCTCTATGCAGTGGTTGACTGATGCAAGTAACTCAGGAATGCCCCTCTTCAAACTACAACATGAGGAAGCTGTAGTTGAGAAACTCAGTGTTTTATAAACTCACAGAATCACAGAATTGCCAGGGTTGGAAGGGACCTCAAGGATCATGCATCTCCAACCCCCCTGCCACATGCAGGGCCACCAACCTCCACATTTCACACTAGACCAGGCTGCCCAGGGACCCATCCAATCTGGCCTTGAACACCTCCAGGGACGGGGCATCCACAACCTCTCTGGGCAGCTGTTCCAGCACCTCACCACTCTCTCCGTAAAGAATTTCCCCCTGATGTCCAACCTAAATCTCCCCTCCCTCAACTTAAAACCATTTCCCCTCGTCCTGCTGTCACTCACCCTTTTGAAGAGTTGATTCCCCTCCTGTTTGTAGGCTCCCTTTAGGTACTGAAATGCTGCAATGAGGTCACCCCGCA